GGGAACTTCCCTTCAAAATCCACATAATCTTGCAGTGTTTAGACTTTAGAATTCTTGTGGTAAATTCAGACGATCCATTAGGTAGGGATTGGGGACCTACTAGATCGGTCACACTTTCAACCCTGTAGTGCGTATCAACTATCAAGCATATGACCCACTTTGAATCATGGTTCTTACTAATATTAGTTGTTTATAATTTTAAATATAAAACTTATATACTAACAAAATAGGTTTATTTTGCATACATGACAAAATGATTTCAATTTTCCATTAGGCTCAGTTTGGAAAGATTATAAATATAAATATGTAGAGTGTAAAAGGCCTAGTGTTCTGTATTTCTAATGTTATGTTTAGTACCATTTTAGGTTGGTTAATACAAATTTTATGAGAATATATTTATTTCTAACACAAATGCTTTGAGTTATCAATACAACATTTGGAAGCATTGTTGTTTTTTCATAAAACGTCAAATTTGATGTTTCTATTATAATTGTCAACACCCAATCTCATGCTTATATTTTTTTAGTGAAAGTGGTTATCTGGTATGATGTGATAAGACAATTTCTCAAAAATTCGTATTGACCAACTTAAAACATTGCAATTAAAAGTGGCAATGATATCAAACACAACCTAAATCTATATTTGCACTTGTTATTCTTCCCAAACTAAGCCTAAGGGCGGAGAGAGAAAAACTGAGATATTCCTTTCTTGCTCCAAATTAACTTGCCACATATAAGACTCATTGGTTGGTTTTATTGAAGCTCACTAAAGGACATGAATAGCAAATCCTGTTTTCTAATTATTTGTATTTATATTCTTTTGGAACTTGGCCTTAGTTGTTTACTTTGTTTAGATAAACTTACTCTCCTCGAGGCCCAGTAATGGATTGTTATAAAGGACAAACCCTTTTGGAGGGGCTCGGATCTGCTGTCCACAAGTTGTTCCCACAATCCCTACCCACGGGACATTTCAGTTGTGCATCAGGAATATCTCCCTTATCATTCATGGGGAGATGTTCTCGATACATAGCTGAGGTACTTTATGTGTAGAGAGTGTGAAAAATTGTGAGTAGCAGATTTAGAGTGTTGTCAAAGCATAGATGGGAGCAAGGTTCTAAGTATCCCATAGAGGCTGATATGTCGGTAGGGCACATCATCCTATATCAGTGCTTTTTTTGTGTTTTATTTATTTTTTTTCAAAACTGGTTCAGAGGGGTCGGTTTATGTCCCAGCTACCGTCTGAACCATGGCCCGACCCGATACACCCCCTATAGGGGCATATCGAGAAGGCCCCGATACGATACATATCAACTGATACAGGTCGATATGTGACAAAATTTTGATCATTGGATGAGGGTGCATGACATTGGATAAGGGTGTCCATGGGTTAGATGAGTTCGGTTGCAGGCTGCTTGGTCAACTGAATTGACCTAATCGGGTTAGGAAATTGGTCACCCAAAATTAACCGATCATTAATGAAAACTGGCAAGGTTTAAAATTTCAATATGATACACCCGATACAGGGTGTATCGTGTCGTATCTTTGAAAAATAGATACGGGATACGCATGGAAATTGGATGTTTCATCCTTTTGCATGCGTATCGGACCCGTATCGGGGGCGTATCAGGGGTGTATCAAGGCCTATCGATAGTGTATTAACGAAAAAGATACAACCAAAAACTAAAAAACAAAAAAAAATTAAAGGGGGAAAGCAAGCTACTTTTCCCCAAAATAAGCCTTCTTTCACCCCCAAATGACTCTAAAACTCCAAACTTCATTCCTAGAGTGCTAGATTTGCAAAAGTTTGCAAGAAACAAGTGTGAATCGTTAATTTTTTTTAAAGATTTTTCAAATTTTGAAAAAATATGGCAAAAATAGATAATTTTTTTCATTTTTTTATAAAATCTTGTGATTTCTCATTTTTTTTCTTGGATGTTTAAATTTATGTTGATCTACATTTCTTACATTCAAAATCATATTTTTTTTGTGTTATCAGTAGATTTATGGAAATTTTAGGAAGATATTTGGGGGAAATATAAATTAACAAAAATTTGAAAATATAATTTTTTCTTTGCCTATAAAGACTAAATATGTTTTAGATCTATGGATTTATCTATCATATCCATAAAGCAATTGAAATTTCTTCTTTAATATTTTTTTATTTTTTATATTTTTAGAATTAAAAAAATAAATAATAATTAATTATATTTTATCATTTGACCACAACAACTGAATATATTATAATTCTATGGATGATCTATCATATCCACAGACTAATTGATATTTCTTCTTTAATAATTATTTTTCATTTTTATATTTTTAGAATTAATTAATTATATTTTATTATTTGATCACAATTATTGAATATATTATAATTCTATGGATGATCTATCATATTCACAAAGCAATTGAAATTTCTTCTTTAATATAATATTCATTTTTTTTATAATTTTTGGAATAATAAATAATTATTAATTATAATTTCACATAAAAGTTGTGCCAATGCATGTTTTATGGTTGGATAGGAGAGTTTGATTTTTCCCATCCCATAAAACATTAAAACTTAAGAATTATAATTTATAAATTATAGTTAAGCATAGGATTTTTAATGAAGTTATAATTAGCTACAATATATTTCTTCATAAAACCATTAAAATATATTAGTTTAATGACTCAATAAAGTATTTATAGAGTGTTGTTGATGTATTTTTATGATTCACTAAAGTATTTATAGAGTTTCCAAGCGTATCTATGTGTATCTTACTTTTTCTTCGATATGCATGCGTATCCAAGGCATATCCCGATACGTCTCTTAAAACTGCCTTTCCGATACACTCGACGTTTCCAATACTTTGAACCTTGAAAACCAGTTAGCTAGGGTTGTATCGGTTTGATCACTTGGTCAGATTGGGAAGTTGGTCACCCAAAATCAACTAACCATTAATGAAAACCGGTCATCTAGGGTTGTATTGGTTTGATTCGATTCAAAAGATTTAAAATTAAAAAATTAAGTTTAAAAATTAAATCTAAATTTAAAAAATGTAGTAAAAAATTAAGTTTACAATATAAAATATTTTAGACTAGGAAATATACAAAATTTCCTACTTTTTTTATATTGAAAACTTCAAATTTAAAGTATAAAATACTAATATATATGATCGGATTGGATTGGTTTTAGTTGGATAATAAATAGCCAAACCGAAACTAGCCCAACCCGACTTTGTCTGGTTAGAAAAATTGTGAACCAAAACCAACCGAAAATACTAAAAAGCCGACCAATTCGAGTAGTTGGGTCAAGTTGGTTAGTTTCATCGATTTGATGAACATCCCTAACACTGGATTTTAAGTTTTAGGTACATGAGTAGAAGCACCAAACGACATGGGACATGTATTATCATAAATACACTCATCCAAACTCGTTGTGTAGCACTTTGTACATACTCAGGGATGAATTCTCAAGTGAACCATTCAATGATAAATTCTCAAGTTGATCCCAACATATTCCAATTAATTTTCTTTTTCTTTTTCTTTTTTTTTTTGCCAAGGAGGAATACTATGAAGAAGATTGAATCTTGTGCCCACAAATTGTTCCCACATCGATACCCACAAGGCATTACAAGAAAGCATTGGGAACTAGGGATGGCAATTTCACGGAAATTTTCGGGTATCTGACCCGTCCCAACCCTAATAGGACCCATTTATCAAAACCCTATAGGGTTTGGGATTTTAAATAAAAATCCTATAGGATTTGGGACGGGTTTGGGTTTTGACTTTAGGGTATCCAATACCCGATACCTGGGATGCATAAATATGAACCTATTATATTATATATCATGCACAAATTTATAAATTTTAAGTACAAAGATATATAATATATTATTAATATTTTATTTGTATAAATTTCTTGGGATTAAAACCATCATTTGATGTAAATTTAGATTTGATAGATTGTTTATTTCATTTAGTTATAAAATGCTAATTTTAAATATTATTTCTTTTAATTTTTAGTTGGAATTGTTAATCAATGAATACAAAAGTTAATAAAATCTATTTTATTTCATTAAATAACACAAAAGATGAGATAGTTTAGTGGCTTAAAGTAGTGTTAAGAGATTTGGCACTATCATTAATTGATCTTGGTTTAAGTCTCACTATAAGCATTAAGAATTTTTTTTAATAGAAAACGTTTGGTCAAGGGGTTCAAGGGGATGGATCGGGACAGGTTTAACGGGTTTAGGAAATTGAGAGAAAAAGTTAGATGAATTTAGGTACCTTACCCATTGCCATTCGTATTGGGAACATCTTCCTCATCATTCATGGAGAGATGTTCTCAATACATGGTACTGCCATACCCACGGGACAAATAACATAGCATCCAGCCCCATTGGAAATATCTTCTTTACATGTATGTCAAATTCATGGGGCTTACATGTATGTTAAATTCACGGGGTGATGCTTCCAATGTGCAGCTGTACTCTTATGTTTTCATAGCAGGGCAGGGAATCTTGTCGCAATCTGGTGCCCATTCAGTGACAGGCTATGATGTAACTCAATCATAAGCAAACACACTTGGTAAACTGTATGGATTGCCTATGTTTTTACTCATGAGCGGGTTGCATAGCCCATTGTACAGGATTTTGTAGTAAATCCGGAGCCATAATTTGCACCCTCCGCAGAAAACGGAGTTTGAACCTTGTCATGATCCTTGTATTAGGCAAACTTCAAGTGAATGGGCATATACTTCAAGGGTTCATGGAATCCATACAGCACACAATAATCCCATCATCCTCCAACCCTCATTAACATTATAATGAGATGCATATAACATCTAGACTTTCGTGTTTGATTTGCTTGGATTGGGTGGATAAAAATCAAGAGGCGTCCCCTGGAATGAATGTTCCAGATAAATAAATCTCTTGTTTATGATTCCAAGCAACTGCCTGTGAGACTTTAGTTTCTAGTCTACACTCCAGTAAACTTGCTTAAACACCATGTATTCCAACTATCAAGCTGACAACCCAAGCTTTTCAAGTTGCTGAAATTATTTGTTCTTTCAACAATCTTAAACCAGTTTTCAACTGCCATAAACCAAGCTGTTAAAGATATAAATCAAATTTTCTAAGAAAATATATAAATCAAATTTACAAGAACTCAACAGCTATGGCACCAATCATTTTGATTTTGTTAACATTGAGCCATTGAGGCAACGAAGCTCAAATCTTATCAGAGTCAGAGCTATAAACCCTTTACTGTCATTTTCCATGGCTTAGGCAAATCAACGTTTTATTGAGCTTCAAAAGATACAAGTTATGATGTAAAAATTCCACCTATCAACCTTTCAATATAACTGTAGTGGATAGGAAAGGCCAAAGGAGGGTGGGAAGGGTGAGCTGGGGTTGATATAAAATCAGGGACGCAAAATACATCACTTAGATTAGAGAAAGATGATTAGTTAAGCCTTTCCTAACCTTGAATTTCTTCGTGATGTAATTTCAGCTGCCCAATTCTTCCCTATTTCAGTCTGGAACTTTCCTGTCAATTGAGAAGGATATACAGTATGACCAACTTGAGAAGGCAATAAAACTGAACTTATCTATACCATGTAGTTAAAACTTAAAAGACAATAAATTTTGATCTACCTGCTGTTGAGAGAAAAAATTCATCCAAGACTTTTCCATGATCTGCAATAATAATATGGGAATATAACATCAAGGTGAAGGTACCAGTGACAGGTCAGAGGTAATCTAAACAAACAATTGGTGGAATATATGATACCAGAAGAAACAGGGAAGTGGATAAGAGGAGATAACATAACATCAAGGTCCACCTGTATGAACTTTAGTCGTCTTCGATGGGTAATAATGGTGAGTAACTAAAGATCAGTCCATTAGAAGATAAGGGAATACTCTGATCACTTTAAAGTTGTAAGAAGGTAGTCTATAAAGGCCATTACACAATGTTGATCCCAAGTCCCAACTATCTGGAGTCTTGGTAGGGGTGGACCGGATATGTTCCTAACCTTTGGCATTTTTTCACACAAAGTGACTGCTCTTAGTATAAAAGGTAGTATATGTGTTACAAAATAATGTACAAATCTGATGATCATAAAAAGTTGTTTTACATTTTAGAGGGTATTATGGGAATTTAATGAATTTCATTAAAGTTGGAATTTGTGCATGCAGGCTTTTAATTGGATGAAAAAAAATGAGATCTAATCTCCTTAAAACATACCCACTAAAGTAACTTTCACCAGGTTGTATGGTTAATAACTTTTGTTTTACCAAATAACCATTTTTCGATAACTATTTTACTAAATGACCATAGTCTAAGCTTTCTCCTTATTTTATAAGAAAATGGAGAAAATTCCTTATTTTCCAAAGAACCAAACCTAGCCTAAATCAATAAATAGAAGCAAACTGACATTAGTACCATACAAGATGGTTTATGTTGGCTAAGCTTGATACTTGTTGATCTTGAATGAAATGAGTTCATACTTCATGGAATGTGTCTAATCCCGAAGTTTGACCGGAGGAAAGCCCAAACACGGATAAATTTAGTAGACAACATAGGGCTGGATGACCTTTGATAGGAAAGGGAAAGTGGTTCAAACCATACACAAGATACATTCCTTTAACTCCTAGCCAAAGATATTTGCGATCTTAAAAGGTCAAAAAACTTGGAAATTAACCCTAACAACCTGTCACATTGGATCTATGATTACAACTTAGGAGAAAGATTAAAATAGTTAAAAGCAAAACAAGAAGTCTTTTCCACTTGTCTTTTTAATTGTAAATGATAGTCAATGGATGTAAAATTGATATCGGTGTTTTAAAAGGCGTGGAAAGCGTACACCTGGAGGCGCGCCTCCAAGCGAGGCACTCCCAAAACGCCCTGAGGCATATGCCAGAGGTGTTGACACCTCTAAGGCATACGCCTCATGTGCTTTTTTCATGAATCATGAGGCGTGCTAGAGGCGTACGCCTCCTGCACACCTCATATAAAAAGACTGAAAAAAAAAAGAAAAAAGAAAAAAAAAGAAAGGAAAGGAAAAGAAAAGAAAGGGAAGGGAGAGAAAAAGAAAGAGAAGAAAAAAAAAAGAGAAAAGGAAAGGGAAGGGAAGAAAAGATAAGGGGAAAGAAAGTGATCTGCCCCCGGACCCTTCGCAAGACCCCCCCCCCTTTCAACTATGCTATGCATCTTTATTTTTCTTACTATAAAAGATTTTTATTAAAAATAAAGAAAAAACGATATCCCCCTTCCTCTTCTTCCTCCTCCTCCCCTTCCTCCTGACCCCCCTCCTCTTAATGAGGCTTACACCTCCTTGTGATTCAGGAGGCTTACGCCTCTTACGTTCTGAACTACGCCTCACGCCTCTAGGTAGTGGAACGCCTCGCGTCACGTCTCCGCGTTTTAAAACATTGATTGATATACTTGACTGAAATAATATCTGCTTTAAGTTTTCTTCTCTATGGTTTATATATTAACCCTGAAACAATCTTGAACTATGGTTGTCTGAAAATTGTAAATAAACAAATTTGTTAACTAAATTGTCATCCACAACCCCCCCCACCCCCCACTTCCTTCTTAGAAGAAAGGAAAAGAAATAAGATATGCCAAAATATAGAATATAGAAAATACTGCACCAAAGTCCCCCTTGTCACTGATTCATCAAAAAGAAAGGCACAAAAGAGAAACAAAACACAAAAAAAAAAGCCTTTTACCAATTAACATCCTAGAAGATTTCACAAAACCTTTATCACTTAGTTTTCGACTTTTCGGGAATATATTGGCTGATGAATTAGTAGTTGTTGTTCTTGTTTCTTTAGTACCTTCAGTGGTTCCGATACCTGTTATGTTCCTTGGATTATTTACAAGTGGTATTCAAGCTC